TCAGTTTTACAATATCTGCAGTATTGTTTGAATTTGGGTTTGTTGAGTCTAGGTACTTTATCATTACTATATGGTATTTCAAATATGTTATACATGTTTGCTAGTTTGTATTCTCTAGTTTTGAATTCTTTGTTTCTTGTAATCTTTTTTGTACTTCTTGTAGTTTTCATTATTTTTCCCAAATATCTTCTTTTTAAGCTTATCTCTGAGTCTATTTTTTTCTTCTTCTGATAGTTGTCTGTTTGTTTTATCTCGATATTCTTTCTTTTCTTGTTTATATTCTTTCTTGAAATCTTTCGTGTCTTTGTTATAGTTTTTGTTTTCATAATCTTTTTTATAATTGTTATTTCTATATTTCTTTTTATCATCTTTCTTGTAAGTTATTTTATAGCTTCCTTTCTTTGGGCAGTTTGATATATAGTGTCCTTTTTGATGATATAAATAGCATCTTAAATTTGTAAGGTTGATTATTCCATAATTTCTTTTTTTAAATTGTTTGTCTTTTTCTTTGTTAAAGTACTCTCTTTTATTTAAGTAATTCATTTGCTTTCCTTCATTTTTGCTTCTAAAGTATTTTTCTACATTTCTTTCCTTGTAATATTTATATACTTGGATTAATGCTTCAAAAAATGCTTCTTGAGTTCTAATATTATTTATTAACTTCATTTGGCTTCTGTAGTTTTCTAAATCATGTCATCCTGATTATAACATCTTATCAAGTGTTACTTGTAATTCTCCTTCATATATTGCATTTATTTTCGCAATTTTCTTATTTCTTATAAATAGGTTTTTAAAGATTCTAGCTTCATCAGATTCTTTAATATATGTTGGTTCGAATCACATTTTTTCAAATATTCTTTGTTTATCTACTATGTTCTGTGCAGTTATGTATTTGTTGTCTATCTATAGTCTAAATAATGGTTGTCTTGATCTTGCATTTCCTCTATTTGCAGCATGTTCGCATACTAAGTTTGATTGTCCTCTTGCTTTATTACAGTTGTTTTCAAATATTACATTTAGTTCTGTTACTGTTTCTAGTCCAGTACTATCTTTGATAGTAAATACATTATCAGTTGCATCCCATGTTGCTTTCCAGTCATGTGTGCATTATCTTCTTCCTAGTCCTTGTGCATTTGCATATATATTACATAGGTTTAGTCATACAATGTCATTTTTATACAATTCGTATTTAGTGAATTGTGTATATTCAAAGTATGAGTGTATTAATTTTTCTATCATTCTTTTGTAAAATTCTGCGCTGGATGCTTTTTCATTGTCTCTTTCAATATCTGTAGCTATTGCAATATTGTTATTTACTCTTTGGTATCCATTTGATAGATCTCCTTAAAGTATTCTAAAGTCAGTAATTCTTCTAGTATATGTATTTTGATAGCATATAAGAATTGGTTTTGAAATTGTATTCAATTTCTTCTGTTGAACTTCATTTCTCCTATTATTGTTTGAAAGTCGATTTTTTCTAAGTCTGGAAATATAATTACAGCCATTATATTTCTTTGATAAAGTGTAGTTTGATTTGTGCATTAAAGCAGAATTGGTTATAGTCTTCTTGGGTTAAGTTTACTAATTGCAGTCCTTTACTTATTAGGTTTTCTATCTTTTGATATGTATCCTAGTTGTAAGTATGTTAATATATCTCTTAGTTTTGAAAAGTAATCTTTTTGGGCTACTGTTTGTTTCTTTTGTACTTTCTTCTTATATGTGTTTTTTAAGATTTCTAAATTTTGTACTATTTTTCTTATTGTCATTATTTCAAAAGTTGTTAATACTGAGAGTTATGCTTGTACTTCTAATTCGAATATTCTTTTAAATTCATTTCTTAGCCACAATATTTGTTCATCTACGTATAGTCTTTTTAGATGTTAGATTAGCCAAAATTCTAATTGTCTATCTGTTAGTCTAATCAGCCAAGATTGGTTCATTTACTAATTGTATTCCATATTTCTTTTTAGTTTGTTCTAATATAACTTGGTAGTTAAATTTGTATGATTCTGCAACGTCTTGTGTTTATAATTTGTTATCTCCTTTTCGAATTGATAGTATTATAAATGCTATTATCAGTTTTTTTGTAGTTGGTTTCTTATTGTCAACAATCGTTTTGATTTTATTATATTTATTTTTTATTAAAGGTTTATATTCTAATTCTTCTTGTTGTTCTTTAATTTGTCTTTCCAGATCTTCTGCTATTTTTTGTAGCGATCTTGATATTAATTTGTTGATAGTGTAACTATTGTTGTTAGATCAGTAAAAACTTGGTTTTTCTTTGCGTTTATAAAGTCTAATTGTTTCTTTTTATTTTCCTAATTATTTCTTTGTTTAATATATACTTTTATTAATATTATTACTACTATTCTTACTATAGTTGCTATGTCTTGTGTTATTATATTTTGGTCTTGAAAGTATGTTGGTGTTACTGTTGATATTAATATCAATGTTTGGAATACAGTAGTTATTTCGGTCTGTATTACTGTTACTGTTTGTGTTATAGTTGGTATCGTGATCATTAAGAATTGTTGGGCTTGTCCAAGTATTACTAGGTGTGCTAGTATTTGTAATATGATTATCTATTAGGTCTAATACTATCTTCAAATAGTCGCAGTGTATGATTTTGTCTTGTTAAATATTCTGTTATTTGTCTTTCTTCTTCTGGGTCTATATTTGGTAATGTAATATTTCTTAATTCGTTTGTTGGTAGTCATGGTCTGTGTAGTAATAGTTTGTTTGGTGCTTTGTGAGGTTTTGGTATTCTATTATTTCTTATCTTGTTTCTTTTTTTTCTTTTCTTTACTATACACTTGATTACAATTGCTAATATTATAGCAGCTATTCCAGTAAGTATTAGTACTATGAAGATTATAGTTGTTAGGTTTTGGTCTTAATCACTTGTTGTTTGTTGGTTTGTATTTTGCATTTAACAGCAACTTGATTAATTATATTGTTGGTCATAGAATAGGTTTGGATAGTTTTTATATAGTCTTTTCTTGTATTATTGTAGTATACAACAAATAATTAGAATAGTTATTACCTATAACAGTATGAATATTATTAATGTTAGCAGTAGTCTGAATGCTACAGAGTTTGTTACAGGGTCTATGTTATTGTTAGAGTCTTTAATTGTAGGTGTTGATATTGTTTGTAACATTGTTGTCATATAGTGTCAATGTAGCATAAATTACTATAAGTATTCTGATTATTGCAGTTGTTTCAAGTATTGATATAGCTATTATGTTTTGTATATATGGTAGTGATAATAATAAGGCTATTGTTAATGCTGTTGTTATTATTATTTCTGTTAATATTAAGGCTGCTTTGGCTATTGTTTGTTTTTGCATTTACTTTGTTCTATGTTGTCTTTAATAGTATTGTAAGCTGTTTAATTGTTCAATATCAAATAGATCTGTGTTGTTTATGTTATCATAATGTGGTGGTCTGAATTGTTGTCCTTGATGATCGTACAAGTCTTTCCCTTTGATTGTCTTTTGTTGGCATTTGTATTTTGTTGTTATTTTTTTGATACAAAATATAAGTATTAATATTATTGTTGTCAGTATTGTTGCTAATATTCTCAATATTTCTGCTAATAATAGTAGGTTAATGGTGTTGCTATTAGAGCTTTGTGTTGCAGTAATTATTGTTATTATTGTTTTGCTTTGATTGTTCTCTGTGGGCGTATTTTTATCTGTTGTAGTACTTGTTGTTGTTGTGGAGCTTGTTGGCATTGAGGTAGCTAGTATGCTTATTACAATTACGTCTGCTAGTATTGTTGTCTTTGTTCTGTTTATTTGTTCTAAGACTAAAATTATTAATATTATGAATATTATCAGTTAGATTGTTCTCAAAATCATGAGATTGGTGATTATTTTCATTTATTGTCTTCCAATTGTTATATACTTGATTGTTATCATCTAATTGTTAATACTTTTGGTCACAATATAATATGTCTTCTAAGGTAGCTATTCTTAGATTTTTTATGCAGTAAGTGTACACTAATTCACTTCTGTTGGTAGTTATAACTTTAGTCTAGTAGTGGTTATAGTTAAGTATACTAATTAACTTTTAGATGATTAGTTAATTTACTTGGTATTATTTTGTCAATATGGTTTTTCTTTTATAAATGGTTTATTTATTAATAATATGTAATAGTTATAATATTTAATACAGTAAAATATGATATCAATATAAGAAAATATATGCTATAGAAGTATGAAGTATAGCTAATAACTAATATTTAAATTATATGTTCCTAGTTTTTATATGCTAATGAAGTTGTCAAAAGATAAAGTGGTAGTTAATAATCACGATTGAGATATATAGTAATATAAGTATTACATTTGAAATTATTATCAAGTATGTTTTAAACATATATCAAAAGTTAAAAGATTACTAATAACTTTTGGGTTGTAAATTTTGAAAGTTAAAATTGGAAGTTTTTATCAGTAAAACTAGTAAAAATTTAGTAAAAATCACGAATATTTCTAAAGGTAAAAAGTCAAAGTTTAAATACATTTTGAATAATCTATATACATTCATTTCAATTTTTCGATTATTATTAAGACTATAATATAAATTCTAATTATTGTTTTCAAATTTCTATCTATTTAGAATTAAATCATTCCCAATAAGTAAAGCTTATATTCTTTTATACATTTCGGCATTAAAGATATCAATATTTGTATCACAAGTCTTATTAATCTAATTTAAGATTTTTTTTGTGTAAGTAAATATTCGATTAAATTAATAGTAGAGTTTTTCTAAATTTGTATTTGATAATCATCGGCCAATTTTTCAAATAATATGTATACTAGATTCTTTACTATAGCCTTTGGCAGTGAATTGTGATAGAGCATTTACAGGTAATTAGGCTTTTCTGCTATAATTTCTTGTTTGTCATCATCATATGGTGTTTGGTATTTATTTGGAATTTCTTTATCCAGAAATTGTTGTTGGAATAGGTTGTTAGTGATCTTTTCATAATTGGTCCATTCTTTAAAATATTGTGGTATATTCTCATTAAAGATTTGGTCTTTATAATATTGGATGGATGGTGTTCATATTTGATGGTCTATTTGTTTTCTTGTCATTTATTGGAGTTTACTCATATTTTTAGGTTCTTTGTATTTAATATTATTCCATTCATGTGGTAATGCTAAATATAAGTACATTGCTATTTCCACATAGTATGTTGGTTTAGAAAATTCATTTTTACCAATATTGATAATAGGATTTGTTCCTGATCTATTTTTTAATAAATAGTCATGTGTTCATATAAACTGTAATCTTTCTGGCTTTAGCTAAAATCCTATTTTTTTCTGTATTTTTCTAATTATACAATTCCAGTATGTTTTGTCATATTTTTCTAAATATCCTCTGAATCCTGAGTATTGTTTGGAATATATTTTAGCATTTCTTGACTATTTTGCTACTAAGGTTTGAATCGGTTGTGTTATTAATTCTTCTTCTCAGAAAATTGTTATAATTGTATACTGTCATTTTGTTGATTTTTTAATATTAGTTTGCATTTTTCTAATAAATATTAATTCTTCTGGTCTATTTAATCCTTTTGCTTCATATATGAATAATGATCTAAACATATTTTCTGGGTTTAATATGTTCATTGGTATTTCAATATATCTTGAATATACTTTTTCTATTATTTCATCATACATATCATATATGTCATATAGATATTGTTTATCTATATCTTTTTCTTCTTGTTGATTTCTTTTAGCTTGTCTTCAAATTATTTCTTCTTTTTTATATTTAATATATAGCTGATAGTACGTGTTTTTAAATATTTGTGTTTCAGTTTGCTCAAGCAGTTTTCCAAGTGCTTGTTTTGCTTCGTCTTCTTTTATATTCTTTTTGGTGAAGATTTGTATTTCTACTGCTATTCGATTACAGATTTTAATAGTGTTTTTATCTAATATTCCTTCGAGTTCTAGTCTTTTTAATTTTTGATAATTAATGTTCCATTGTGTTATAATTAGTATTTGAAATGCTACTGAGTATTTGTCAAGGTCTGAATATATTATAGATAACTAGTCTTTATGTTTTAGGGTTATTTCTTCTATTAAGAATACTTTATGTCCTATTTTCATAAGGTACTTTTTAAGTTTTAAAGCTAATGTTGTTTTTCCTACTCCTATTGCTTCTCCAATTGCAATTATTTTTGCTTTGAGCAAATTGTTTTCTAAGTAATCATCAAATTGATTATACTTTTTATTTGGTATTAGAGTTTTTTCTAGATTTTCATTATCTTTTTGTTTTTCAAGATAACTTAAGGTTCTTTCTATTATCTTTAATTCTTCTTTAGATAAATATACTATTTGTTCTTGAATATTTTGCTTTCTTAACAATATTTCTTTTCAGTTTTTATGGGATTTTGGTATTATTTTTAGTTTTTTAATGGTAATTCCAAGTTCTTTTCCTAGTTCTTCAAATGAGTTTTGGTTAAAGACTGACTCTAGTTTTTCTTGAGTTTTTTTAGTTTTTGTATTTTTCTTTTGTCTGAAATGCTTTTTTCTTTTTAGAATTTTTCCATACATTAGAGCTTTCCTGTTTAATTTTATCAACCATTTATAGTAATAGTTTTGATCTTTAAAGAATATACTTTGTGGTATTTGGGTCTTTTGTACTGATTTATCTATTCCTTGAAGTATTATTAAGATGTTTTCTATATCTTGTTCAGAGAGTCACTTTGAAATGTTTGATTTGTCTTGCATCATTCCATATTTGGTAAATCAACTCTTGTAGAGGTTTATTATTTTCTGTTTTCTTTCAGAAGAATTTTTTACATTCTTCATAAAAGGTTGTAATTTCTTTTATTATTTTTGAAAATAAGAATATTTCGTATACTATATAATAAAGTTCTTTATTAGTATAATGATTAAATACTAATTTATTTTTATTTCTAAACTTCTGAAATACTTGTTTTATTTCAAAAGGTTCTTTAGTCTGATTCTTCATTGCCTGCATCTTCAGGATATTTTGGATGTTCTAGGTTATCCCTTATTGCTTCTGTGTATCCTATTTCTGATTGTATTTTGTTTGCTATTTCTTTTAAGTTTTGTAATATTATTTTAAATATTCGAGTGTCCAAGATATTTTAAGCACTAAATATTTTTGTAAATTGCTCAGTTGTCACTAATTGTCTTTTAAGGATTGTTAAAATATAAATATAGTTATTTAATTTAGATACTGTTTGGCTTTATTCATTCGTTCTCTTCATAATTTCCATCAGAATCTACTATTGAATCAATTTGGTTTCTTTCCAAGAATGTTTTGCAAAATTCACAGGTATCATCTTTTTCTAAATCACTATCTGATTGAAATTCTAATAATTTTTATTAATTCTTGAGTTAATTGTTCTAACACTTCGTTTAAGGATTCTTTATTAAAGCTATTCTATTTCATAGTCCTTTATTTGATAGACAGCTAATATAGCTACTGCTGTTATTTGTTGAGTGTGTAATTTTCTATGATCTGCTGGTATCAGATCCTGATCTGATACTCGAGTATTAAAATTATGTTTCTTTTGAATTATCTGAAATATCTGTACAAGGTGAGATCCTAATTGTTCTAGTACTTCTTTGTCAGTTCTTTTAATTAGGGTTGGGCTTCTTCTTGGTATAAGTTTCATTCTGGTATCAGTATGTTAATATTGTTTCGAATATTTTCAATTAATTGATTAATTGTACTGGCATAAGTTGCTTGATCATTAATTGATATAGATTTTGGTTTTGCTACCAATTCTTGAATTGACTAGATTAACTCTCCTTCTGGTTGGTGATTAATATAATACTGTAGAGTATTTTTAGCTATTTGGTATAGACTTGTGTCATAAAAAGTTATTAGAGCGATGTTTAATAGATTAGCTAATAGGCTTTTAATGATCGTTAACTCATAGGCAGTAGTTTCTTTTGAAGTTGGTTCTTCAATATTAGGCATTAGTTATGTATTCGTATTCTTGATTTTTCTGTTGAATCTTTACTAGTGTTTAGGAAAATATTTTTCTTTATGCTTCTATGATTTTTTTTTATTTCTTTTTTCTATTTGTTTATCTTTTTGTATAATAAGCTATTAATTATTGCTTCTCTTTTTCTAGTGTAAAAAATACTCATTTAATTTTGGGCTGAAGTTAGAAGATTAAGTATCTCTTCGTCTGTTAATTTTTTAACTACTAATTGTACTATTATCCAAGTAATATAGTTAATTATTTCTTGGATCATCAAGGGTTCGATGGAGTTCTAGTATTTTTCTGCTTGCTTGTTCCTTATTTTCTATTGCTTGTTGACTGTTCCTGTAAGGTCAAAGATTTCATCTAATTGTAATCGTACATTTGGTGAGATTTTAAACTTTTGAGATCTTTTTATTATTAAAAGGATTTCTCTACTTCTTAGAAAGCTTTTAGTAGGTCTGTTATCTATTTGTAGTCTGAAAAATCCAAGATTTATTTGTATTTCTAACTTAATTCGTTGTTCAGAATATGTTGAAATTTCTTGTTGATAACTTTGTATTGCTTCAAAATCGATTGGTAGTTGCTTTGGTATTTGAATGTTGGTTATTCAGTTGAAATTAGAAGTACTTTTAAAATATCCTGAAGTATTAATTTCTTTTCCTACTGGCAGTTCATATTTGGTTGAACAGTATCTTTGATCTGGTGAAGTAAAGTTGGGCGAAGCAATTGTTTATTCTTCTGAATTCTTCAATTGCTTTTTGTTTGAATTCTTTAAGGTCTTGAATTTCTTTTTTGAGTTCAATAATTTCTTTGGTAACTTCTTCATTAAATTCATATTCCATTTACTCATTGGTGAGTGAAGTTTTGATTTGGTTAATCATTGGTGTTTAAATAATTTTTGATTTGATAGTCTAGCTATCATGATTATTAATCTTGTCATTGTCTGACTCAATTATTAATCAGGGTTTGTTTTGTTTGTGAATAAGATAAGATAGGTTTGGATTATTAATATATAAGTTTGATAAGATGGATATTACTAATATTTTGGTGTTGTTTTGGCAAGTCAGATAATTTTGTTTACTTTCTATATAGATGCCTCTTTCTCGCATTTCACAGTCATTCCCTTTCCTATTTGGATAATACTATGATATATTTTTATATCACATGGAATGTCTTTATTACAAATTTTGATTACTAATTTAAACTATTTTCTTTAGATAGTTTTTGATGTTTTGTCATCATTATCTATTAATATTGGGGTTTTTAGACTAAATCCTTCTTGGTTAGTAATAATCCTTGGTCTTGGTGTCAATGATCTTTCTCGTTGTTGTTCTTGGATTATTGCTTGTTCAATAATCAGATGTTGGTTCTAGACTTGATTTATTGAGTTTTTAAATTCGGAAGAAGTTCTTTATATCATTCTAGTGGATTAAAGTATTCTTCATAATCTCATAATATTGCTGTTGTCACTTCATCAAAGCAATATTGTATTCTATTAAGCATTTTCCAATATTGAATATTCTGTCCTTCAATATTTTCTTGTCGTTCCCATATCTGTTTTTGTTGTGCTTCAACAATTTGTTCTAATCATACTATGCTTTCTTTGTCAGTTAAAAGTGGTTCTTCTATAACAGTTTTTGGTGCTTTTATTTTTTCTTTATCATGACATTCACATTTCTTATAGAAGCTTTCGAATATTTTGTTACATTGATTACAATATTTATGAGAATGGTGTTCACATTTTCCACATATCTTGCATCCATAATTATATTTATGAAAGATATGTCATCTTTCGGTATACAATTTTTTAGGTGTAGGGGAAGATATTTATTGTCTTTTTTTATCTTCTTCTTTTATAATAGTGGATGGTCCTGGTGTAGGAGATCAAAATATTGAACATTTTAATTTGGTTTTTAATTTTAGAAACTGTTTATTATAACAGTTATTGTACATCAATCTTTTGATTTCTTTAGGTGTTTCTAATTTGTTTTCGTTATTACAATATTTACAATATTGTAAATGATTGTTTTCTTTATCAAAACAGTGTTGGGTACAATAGAATTGTTCTATATGTACTTCTTTTCCATCCTGTTCATCTGTTTCAAAGATCATTATGAAATCATCATAAGTTCCTTTCTCATTGTAAGCTATTGGTATTAAGCAGTTGTCACAATATTTATATCTATTTGGATAGTGTTTTTAAAA